CACATCTGTATCAGTGTAGACAGCGTCAGTCATTATAATCTGAACACACATCTGTATCAGTCTAGACAGCGTCAGTCATTATAATCTGAACACACATCTGTATCAGTGTAGACAGCGTCAGTCATTATAATCTGAAAACACATCTGTATCAGTCTAGACAGCGTCAGTCATTATAATCTGAACACACATCTGTATCAGTGTAGACAGTCAGTCATTATAATCTGAACACACATCTGTATCAGTGTAGACAGCGTCAGTCATTATAATCTGAACACACATCTGTATCAGTGTAGACAGTCAGTCATTATAATCTGAACACACATCTGTATCAGTGTAGACAGCGTCAGTCATTATAATCTGAACACACATCTGTATCAGTGTAGACAGCGTCAGTCATTATAATCTGAACACACATCTGTATCAGTGTAGACAGCGTCAGTCATTATAATCTGAACACACATCTGTATCAGTGTAGACAGTCAGTCATTATAATCTGAACACACATCTGTATCAGTGTAGACAGCATCAGTCATTATAATCTGAACACACATCTGTATCAGTGTAGACAGCGTCAGTCATTATAATCTGAACACACATCTGTATCAGTGTAGACAGCGTCAGTGATTATAATCTGAACACACATCTGTATCAGTGTAGACAGTCAGTCATTATAATCTGAACACACATCTGTATCAGTGTAGACAGCATCAGTCATTATAATCTGAACACACATCTGTATCAGTCTAGACAGCGTCAGTCATTATAATCTGAACACACATCTGAATCAGTGTAGACAGCGTCAGTCATTATAATCTGAACACACATCTGTATCAGTGTAGACAGCGTCAGTCATTATAATCTCAACACACATCTGTATCAGTCTAGACAGCGTCAGTCATTATAATCTGAACACACATCTGTATCAGTGTAGACAGTCAGTCATTATAATCTGAACACACATCTGAACCAGTGTAGACAGCGTCAGTCATTATAATCTGAACACACATCTGTATCAGTGTACACAGCGTCAGTCATTATAATCTGAACACACATCTGTATCAGTGTAGACAGCATCAGTCATTATAATCTGAACACACATCTGTATCAGTCTAGACAGCGTCAGTCATTATAATCTGAACACACATCTGTATCAGTGTAGACAGTCAGTCATTATAATCTGAACACACATCTGTATCAGTGTAGACAGCGTCAGTCATTATAATCTGAACACACATCTGTATCAGTGTAGACAGTGTCAGTCATTATAATCTGAACACACATCTGTATCAGTGTAGACAGCGTCAGTCATTATAATCTGAACACACATCTGTATCAGTGTAGACAGTCAGTCATTATAATCTGAACACACATCTGTATCAGTGTAGACAGCATCAGTCATTATAATCTGAACACACATCTGTATCAGTGTAGACAGACAGCGTCAGTCATTATAATCTGAACACACATCTGTATCAGTGTAGACAGCATCAGTCATTATAATCTGAACACACATCTGTATCAGTGTAGACAGCGTCAGTCATTATAATCTGAACACACATCTGTATCAGTGTAGACAGCGTCAGTCATTATAATCTGAACACACATCTGAATCAGTGTAGACAGCGTCAGTCATTATAATCTGAACACACATCTGTATCAGTGTAGACAGCGTCAGTCATTATAATCTGAACACACATCTGTATCAGTGTAGACAGCGTCAGTCATTATAATCTGAACACACATCTGTATCAGTGTAGACAGTCAGTCATTATAATCTGAACACACATCTGTATCAGTGTAGACAGTCAGTCATTATAATCTGAACACACATCTGTATCAGTGTAGACAGCATCAGTCATTATAATCTGAACACACATCTGTATCAGTGTAGACAGCGTCAGTCATTATAATCTGAACACACATCTGTATCAGTGTAGACAGCGTCAGTCATTATAATCTGAACACACATCTGTATCAGTGTAGACAGTCAGTGATTATAATCTGAACACACATCTGTATCAGTGTAGACAGTCAGTCATTATAATCTGAACACACATCTGTATCAGTGTAGACAGCATCAGTCATTATAATCTGAACACACATCTGTATCAGTGTAGACAGTCAGTCATTATAATCTGAACACACATCTGTATCAGTGTAGACAGCGTCAGTCATTATAATCTGAACACACATCTGTATCAGTGTAGACAGCGTCAGTCATTATAATCTGAACACACATCTGTATCAGTGTAGACAGCGTCAGTCATTATAATCTGAACACACATCTGTATCAGTCTAGACAGCGTCAGTCATTATAATCTGAACACACATCTGTATCAGTGTAGACAGCGTCAGTGATTATAATCTGAACACACATCTGTATCAGTGTAGACAGCGTCAGTGATTATAATCTGAACACACATCTGTATCAGTCTAGACAGCGTCAGTCATTATAATCTGAACACACATCTGTATCAGTGTAGACAGCGTCAGTGATTAT